ATGGAAAATTATCTGCTTTACAGAACAGTTAACCCGGGTTAACCTTCTGAAGGTCACTCGGGGTGCATATTTTTCGGGCTCCCCCGATTGATTATCACTGTCGGAGTCACAACAAAGGTTTTTACCAAAAAAACCGCAAGAAAATATCAAAATTCGGAAAAGGCCCTATTCTACATAATTACCAAAATTGCAATTAAATACGACATGCTTTATACAGGGTGTTCACAAAAGGCGGAGACCCCTGAATACCTCCGAAAATATGCAAGATAGAAAAAAATGTTTCAGACAAGAGTTGCAGTATTTTAAATAACGCATTACGCAGTAATACCAGTATGACCTTGAAGAGCATTGTCAAGGTCACGTAAAGATCACCTTGAAATTTTTTAATAGAAACTCCCATTTTTAATTGCACATTCTTGTAGCTTACCTCGAGAGCTTTTCAAAATCAATTAAATGCTTCTTCATTCAGTACTTTCCGAGTTATGGGGATTGAAAGTTACAGTACCGCCGGCATCTATCTTACATATTTTCAGAGTTATACAGGAGTCTCCACCTTTTTTGAGCACCTTGTATGTAATTACTCACGTAAAAAAAATTGATGCTTATGGAACCCACCACACACACTAATATGATTAAATATGATGATCCAAAAGTTACTTTGAATAAATCAGAAAATCTTATAATAGAATAAAATATTTTATGTTATTATTCCTTCAACAGTTAAAATGTATAATTTTTTTAATCATTATTTTAAGACATAATTAAAATGAGTTTAATACATCCATGAATATCTTCCATTACAATTCGAAATGAATATTGTATTGATCTGTTGATGACATATTTAACTTAAATTAATAATTTAACAGTTTATTGCAAAAGATACTAACTCGATTGCTCTTCTATGGAAATCCACCGCAGCGATTATTCTATGTTGAGAAATGTTTTGGTTTTTAGTTACACACATGTGCGGATTAATTCCATTTAATACGTGTTTAATACGATAACTATAAGAATTTAGATGTTAAATTGATGTATACATATAACATAGTATACCATGAATGATATGTATTAAAGTTGTACATCATTATTGACAATACTTTTATAAGTATTAATTTCATGTTGCAAATAAATAACACACTCACAGAAATTGAAGAAAGGACATTGTGAAGAACTCTCTTGATCAAAACCGTAGTATACGATAACGATACCAGAGGGCTGTCCCATGGTGACTATGGTGTTACCGTACGACCTTGCACTATTAATGATGACATACACTGTCCTTTGGTGTCATCATCGTATAGTGTCGTATACTATGGTCTTGATCAGAGTCCAGAGTCCTTCGTAGTGTTCATTTTCCAATTCCCGTGAGTGTAGAAACAAATAAAATAAAAGTTATACAAATAATTCCTTCAAAGCTAATAAATAAAATATTTTATGAATAGTTATTAATTATTACTTTAATAAAATATTGTATAATATAGCGAAAACAGAAAAAAAATTTTAATTAAAATACTGACTAAAGAAATATAGTATTAATTTGAAATATATAATCATACATGAAATCAATAGAAATGTGAATAAGCTAAGAAACAGAAATAATATGTAAAACGTAATCATTTATTTACCTGGCAACTTTAAATAACCCGAAAGCATGCATTGCGTTTACTAGTGAAAATGATTCAGTAGCTACAAAACAAGATATTATAAAAACACTTCCAATACTTATATGTATTGTTATGATATAAAAGTATTTCTCATGGTCAACCAAATATTCCACGGGTATTATTGGTATGAGCGGACGAGATATATTTAAAGGTATTATAATATCCAAAAAGATTGAAGTATATTGAAGAAGAATGAAGGTTGTAATTAAGCTGTATGCGAATACTAAAATAATTACAGTACCATTAAATTTTTCATTCATATAATATTATATTGTATTATAATAATTATTTAATCAATTCTCTACATTACCTTTATACAAATGCCCAAATTATATTTGTTATGTCAGTTATTATACTGATTTAACTTAAATTTAATAAAATTTAAAAATTTTGTATTTTCAATTTAATGTGCAATATGTGTTTTAGAAATAAGATAATCGGTTATCATAATAGAATATGATTGATAACTCAGTATATTCTGGATCTGAGTTTTTTGAGCCAGAAATCGCGCAAAATGATCGACTTACATTTAAAGTTTAAACTATTCAAGAATTATTATACAATAATTTTGGCACTATTCATTATAAACAACTGCTTCTATCAAAAATTATTAATTAAATGTTTATTTAATATTTACTCATTAAAGATATTGTCATTAATTTTCCATAGATTCCATGCTTATTTATAATCTCGAATTCTTTATTATCTTTCAAAGCAAGCCAATTACTTCGAATGCGTCCCTGGAATTCTTTAACGTACTGGTGAATATAATTCAAGTATTATTGTAGTATGTGGTGGTTTATTTTTCAGTTAGTTGCTCTTGAACTTACATTTTTCATAACAGCACAAAATGAGATGTACTTTATACAACATGTTATGAAACCAATATTAAAAGATAATATCTTTATAACAAGATCATAAGTACATTCTGAGACATATAATTTTGTCCACTGAAATGATTATAGTAAGTAATAAAATCCCAACAATATATCATATTAGAACACTTAAATTAATATAGAACACGGTGTCATTAAAATACCGAGAGTAAAAGAGAAGTACAAGATACAAAAGAAATTTGCAGTATTTCAATTATTAGCAAAATTCTATTGCACTAAAGTCGCAAAATTGAAGATTAGACATGTACAGTCTTATTCTTTAATGGCTGGCCTAGATTTTTATCATCATGTTTCTCGTTTATACAAATCACTAAGTTTCAGGCTGCATGTATATGTATACTACCACAGACTTCTATAAAAGCTGTGTAAACTACAGTGTGAAATTCATCGATGTACAGATGAGAATAAAGATTATGAAAATGAGAATGCTAGTAAAACTGAGGTACAGGCATTAATAAACAAGTCTGTATGTCATAAAATTATAAATAGATTACAAATAATATAAATACCTGAACACCAGGCATTGATACAAGAATTAACAGTGTTATGACACGGATACATCTGATTTTGAAGTTATTATATGGCCAAAGACCAATTGCTGATAAACAAACACGATTCAGTCTGTAATACTGATCTTCAGGATATTCCATTTCAAACGACAGCTCAAATAATACTGAGCGCGAGTCGTCTATAGAAAAATTTTTCTTTCATACCATTGTGGTACTTATTTTTCCTTTCTCTAAAATTTATGTAACACCTGTATATTATATGGAATTAAGTTAAAAATTAGAAATTTTATCAAATACTTATATCCACATGTACAAATCCACAGGTAAAAAGGGAGATAAGATAATAACAGAAGAAAATGCATGACTCGTCGAAAAAGAACTATAGCCACTTCTATACCTCTAACGTTGTAACGTTATATCCCATTAAGAATAATGGATAATAAAAAATAAATTGTGTGTGTCATAATATTTAGTATACATATAAAGCACATTTTTTGGTGTTTCACCTCTCTTTGTAAGCGCATGTGCAATAGAATAAAGTGTTACTCTGGTGTGAAGCTTAACATATACCTTTACGCTTCAGATAGTACAGAGTGTCTTGCGGTAGTTTGACTAAAACACAATGCGTGTGTGTTTGTGAATTGATATACAGCACCTATAAGAAAATTTTCATTCTATAAGTTCTTAAGCTCTCTAGCTTTGTTACTCTTGAGTTCTTTCTTCTTTTGCTCACGGCGCTGCATAGTTTACAGAGATACAGTGTTATAGAACATTTATATAGATAATATCTCATATTTAGTGCTGTTATTAGAAAACGTATCACAGTATCTAGTGAATAAAGAAAATGCCAAAGTTAGATTCGAAGAGACAGAACTATTGATTAAATTGTGTAATGAAAATCACAGCCTACGAAACTTCTTCTGAGAAACTTACTTGACATATACTTTTACGGGATTCCTATATAATGTTTGACGTATTTTTTAAACTTTTTGGAGTATTTTTAGTTAAAACAATATTACTGATATGTTATTAATGTGTGTTCTATTTTATTACGAGATAGATATCTAAACAAATTTACTTAATGCATTAAAGAAATAGAATAACAATTTATTTTTATTTATTTGTATCATAAAGAAGTCCGGAATATATTGCACCATAGTGAAACCAATAATTCCAAAATAGACGCATGTTAAAATTAAAAAAAATTTACAAATTTATTTAGTTACGGAGAATAACTGTTGTCTCATGTGCAAATATCTAAATTATTTGTTATAATCAAGTGCACTAATCATAAAATTTATAAAAATATTTGTTTTTAGAACTAACATGTACAATAGATTATATTTTATACAAGTAAAAGAATCTTTTCAGTTGTTGGTAATATTTATATATAAATGTTGAAAAAATCTTTAATAAAAATGTACGTAGTTGCCATTTAAAAATCAATTAAGAATTCATAGATTTTTATTAAATTTCGGTTTCTGAAAAGATAGCGCTACAGTAATTATAACAAAATTTATCTAAAGAAAGATTAGAAAATTGATTGTATTAATTTTAAGTTGCATTTGTCCTTCACATTTTAGAAATACGTTATTATTATCGCAAATAACTCAAATTTAATTGAGATAAAGTATTTGAAAATTTATTCAACAATTTTTATTCACTTGCTATTACTATTGTAAATCGTTTTCCAATGTTAGTATATTTGTACATTATATCAATCTCTCGATCGTCTACCAGAATACTCCAATTATTTTGGATACATTTTTGTAATCGTTTTATCTATTAATAAATGTAAATACTATTATATTATACATTATAGCTACTAATTTCATATTTAATTATTCCGGAACTTACGTTTCCCATAATAGAAGAAAAAGTGATATATTTGATAAGCCATATTAAAATAAGGAAATTAAAAGCTAATACTTCGAGCAGAAGATCAAGGCTACACCCCGGAACCAATAATTTCGCAAACTGTAAGCAACACTTACTGATGTACAAATAATATTGTATGATTATAGAATTGCTAGCGGATTCTGCATATCTGAAAGAAAAGTTATTTAAAAAACTCATACACACATGGGGGGGTGCATCGTTTGCCTACATTCCTGATTGCCAACAACTTCGCTGGCCTACATTTTATCGACAGCTTTGTACACATTTCCAATTGTACGGTTCCACATCGGTTTGAAACTTCTGCAATATTAGATCCTCCCGTTAAGCCTTCTGTCCACGATCCGAGAATTGTGTCCAAGTTCTAGTTCCGAGATATGTGTAGTCAATCAACTTGCATCTTTTACAGAAAAGCTGCAAGTTAATTGGCTACACATTTCTCGAAACTAAACCTTGACACAGTTCTTGGATTGTGGACACAAGGCTTTAGACAATTCAATATATTGCGTATTTATGATGTAGATTATCTAAATTATATTATTATTGACACCCATACCAATTATTGTAATTTATTACATATTAAAATAAAAAAGCTTAAATAACATTTAATATTTAGATTAAAATTTAATAAGTTTAATTGTACATGTATACTTAATTATGAAAATTTATGTGAAAATGTTTACTACACTGAAACAGATGTGGTATGAGAGACTCAAATAATTTAAAGATTTTTTTAAAACTTATGTTAAATCCTTCTTTAGAAGTATATCTATTATAATATACAAATATAATAGAGATTGTATTATTTACTAGGCAGTCGTAATAGTATTTAGAGTATGTCTAGAATTGCTATTTGTGAGTAGGTGTACAATGTGTGTATAATGATTATTTTAAAATAATTTTTTTGTCAAATATGCAGAGATGACGTACTTATATAACAAGCTATACATAACAAGTATATCACGCGTGCCAAGATTTGTAAAAGAACAGACTTCCCTCGATTTATGCGGAGTATCTGTTATTACTAATCACGAGACACGGTAGTGTCTCGCGCCAAGTATAAGCGAAAAGTTTTAAAGTGACAAGCTAGACCACGCGCGCGAGACCGACCGTGTAGTTTACGCGAGTGCGCGAGTTGACGGGCCCTCGGAATTTCGGATCTCAACAACGGCTGATCCGACGAACTTGAGACTGCGCTTAATCGATAGCTTGGGTACGATTTGTATAATAAAAGTGTTTTTACTTTTCTCCTACGTGCCCCATGAGTGAAGATATTGCTTGCAATGCAAAGTCCGCGGTTGTGAATTTCGCGTTAAGAAACGTCGTCCATGTCGTCGTCATCAACCGGCCACGATTTCCTTTTCATATTTCTGCCGCACGTGGCGCTCGCAAGCGCGGCTGACGTGACTGACGTTACCGACTTATACGAGCGCCCGTAAATAGAGTGAACCTAACCTTTGTGCCGATTTTTTAATAATAACGTGTCTCGTGATTGATATATTTGTCGCATTAGTTAGGGATTGTTGTGAGGTGTCTTTTCAAGTGCCACTAGCGCGGCAAAAGACTGTAACTTGTTGTGAGTGTGCGCGATCGGTGACATATGTTTTGTAATAATAATGTAATGTAATATTTCAGTCCGAGAACCGTGTAGTGCAATCGATCGATCCTTTTGGGATTCTCTCTCGTAATAACAACAAAAGTAAGTATACGAATGTGCAATGTGTTTTTATAGTTAGTTCTCTTACGTTCAGCATAGCTTATAATCTTAAGTGTCGAAGTGCTCTTCCTCTTCCTTCTCTCGTTCACTCAAGCGAGCGCTCCAACGTCCTAGATTTGCAATGCCGAATGCAGCTCTTGTCCGACACAAAAAATTTATCTATGTATATTACAGGGTGTTATGGTATATTATAATGTAGTGCAATCGTTGTGATAAACAGTATGAGGTATTTAACACTACAAAAGGTGTGATATCATCCAAAAGAACTTACCTTTTTAAAAAAAAAGGTAAAAAATGCGCCAAGTATAAGCTCCAATGTTACTTTATCTCTTCTGCAAAAGTATCTTCTCTACAAAAATATCTTACCTGCAAAAGTATCTTCTTTACAAAATTATCTTTCCTGTAAAAGTATCTTCTTTACAAAAATATTTTTATAAATGTCTTTCCAAAAATACCTTTTCAAAAATATTTTCTCTACAAAAATCATCTCTACAAAAGTATCTTCTCCACAAAAGTAATGATAACATCAACAAATTACGCCAAATTCTATTTTACCCGATTACAGTAATAACTAAATTACCGTAATTTACAGTTATGTGAGGCATGTATTAATGTTTCTCATTTTTCTTATGTCCCAGGCGCACGCGTAGTGGAGTGTATTTCATACCAGTAGAACGTACAAATCAAGCATGGTGCCTATGTATTTTCGATTCATTTTTCGGGTGTAGAAGTATTAAGAATATTCAAAGCATAATAACAAGTGATAGTTGAAAAGTTACAAATCATCAAATAAACGCTGAAAAATAAACGCGAAGATATCATCAGTACTGTTTATTGCGACTAATATTACCACATGCCTCAGTGGTCGAATTGGTGAGACGCCCTCCTAGAGTGTAGGGAGGTCCAGGTTCAAACCCTGGCTGAGGTAATATTTTTCGCAATAAATTTCTTTAATTAGAATTTGCCAGCCATTGGTCGTCATGGAAATTTTTCTACATTGTTTAATCAATTACTAGCGTTAAATAATTCTGTACGTTTTTTATAATTTATTTCCTTTGAAGTGAAATCTGTTTAGTGGAAAATTCATTGTTAGGTCGTGTAATTGTTGCAAAAAATATTTATGGTTGAATTTGGATGTTGAAAACTTGCTATCTCATATTAGAAGTCTATTTCATAATAGGAGACTTTCTTATATCTATATTTTATGACTATTATGAAACAAATATGTGAAAATTGATGAAGCTATAAAAACTTCACATTAATTACTGTTACATCATTATTTTTCCTTTTAATAGCAGATTTACGAATAAGCTAAACTAGATATTTTTAATAAACTTTCAAGTAAGACCCTCTATCTAAAACTAACAATGTATGAGAACACGCTTAATGCGGGTCACAAGGCAAGATGTAGGAACACGGAAAAACAATTCGGCGCGTAGCATTAATGTGGATAGAAACGGTATATAGATTCACAATTTTCAGAAAGATTTGAAGATCTACAAGTTGGGCAACCTACATCTTGCCTTGTGACCCGCAATAGGCGTGTTCTCATACATTGTTAGTTCTAGATATTTTTATTTTTGATTATATGAAATGATTATACATAT